TACATGAGGCAAGTGTAGCTGAGTTTATAAAGACAGAAAGTAGATAGGACCAGCAGTTAGTGTAATGGCTATGTTGCTGGACTCCCATGTAGTCCACCGCGGTTCGAGTCCCGGACCCAGTGGCTTAAACTCATGCCAGGTGCATGTGCGTGCATGGCCAAGATCCGGAGAGGAGAATGGAGAAGGGATTGCTGCGTGGCCATCCCCCCTGGGGGGTGATTTCTCGCTTTCTGTTTCTCTCTCTGACTCTTTCTGTCTTTCTGGTGAGCACATGTGCCCTATAGCAAAAACCTCCCCCCCCCCCAAAAAAAAAAGACAGAAAGTAGATAGAAAGGTGGTTGTCAGAGGTGGGAGGTAAGGGGAGTTATTGTTTAACGGGAACAAAGTTTCAGTTTTGTGAGATGAAAAGAGTTCTGTGGATGGTGGTGATAGTTGTACAGCAAGGTCAATGTGTATAATGCCAGTGAACTACACGGTTGAAAACTATTAAGCTGAGGGACCAGCAGTTGGCGTAATGGCTGCTGTCGCTGGACTCCCATGTAGTTGACTACAGTTTGAGACACGGACACAGTGGCTTAAACTCATGCCGGGCACGTATGCGTGCGTGCTCAAGATCCTGAAAGGAGAATGGAGGAGAAGGAAGGAGAAGGGATTGCGGTGTGGCCTTCCCCTCTGGGGGGTAATTTCTCGCTTTCTGTCTCTGTCTTTCTGGCAAGCGCACGTGCCCTATAGTATAAAACCTCTCAAAAAAATTTTTTTTAAGAAAATTATTAAGCTGATAAATTTTATATTCTTTACAGAATTTTAAAAAGATTAACATGAAAAATAATGAAGTAGAAAATAGAAAAAAGTCAACTAAACCAAAAACTGGTTCTTTGATTTTTGGACTGCTGGGTCCAGGACTTAAACTGCGGTTGGCAATGTGAAAGTCTGGGGCTTCAACCACCATGCCACCTGCTGTCTCCCAAACACTGGTTCTTTGAACATTCCAACAAATTAATAAACCTTTAGCTAGACTGACCAACAACAACAAAAAAGACTCAAATTCTTGAGAGAAGACCCAAAAATCAGAAATGCAAGAGCTAGTATTTCCAACCTTATAGAAATAAAAAGGGTAATAAGAGAATACTATGAACAACTGGGTGACAATAAATTAGATACATAAAATGAAATGGGCCTGGGGATAAGATGACAGCACAGCAATAAAGCCACACTTTGAGGCTGACCCACAAAGGAGGGTTCTGGGTTCATATCCAGAAACCTCCCTGAACATACCAGGTGCATGCATGCCCATGATCTGGGGCTGGCTGGGGGTGGATCACGGCGTGAAGACCCTGTTGGGGATGATCATCTCTCTGTCTCTCTAGTTTATGGAAGAAATAAACTTTTTTTAAAAAAAGTAAATGGATGCATTCCTAGAAAGACATTAACTATGATAACCAGCTCAAGAAACAATAAAATAACAATAACAATAAAAGAGATTGGGGCTGGCTCTGTGGCCTCATGGTTAAGGCAGCCAGATTCCACACAGCCACCCACGCAGCTTGAGTCCAGGACACAGCAGCTTGAGAAACATGCTGAGTGCATGTGCATTCAAGCCCAAAATCCCAGAAGAAGGGAGATATGGAGGGGAAGAGATTGCAACACAACCATCTTTTTCCTCTCCTTCTATTTCTCTCTCTCTGGAGTGCACACAAACTCTAGCTACAACAACAAAAAAATAAAGAGATTGAATTAGAATAAAAATTAGAATAAAAATCTACCTACCAAAGAAAGTCCAGGCTTAGAGGGCTTCATAGGTAAATTCTACCAAACATCTAAACAAGAGTTAATACTAATTCTTCACAAACTCTTCCAGAAAATAAAACAGAACAAAATACTTCCAAGATCATAGGGATCAATACATGCTACAACGCAGATGAACCTTGGAAGCATTATGTCAAGTGAAAGAAGCCAGTCATAAGACATCACATAATATATTATTCCATTTATATGAAATGTCCAGAGTAGGCACTAGACTCCTGTATAACTGATTGTGGTTCTAGTCCTGCACCTGGGGCTTGAAAATCATGCCAGGCATGTGTGTATGCATGCCTAAAATCCCAGGAAGAGAAGGGATTATGGCATGGCCATCCCCTCTAGGGGCTGACTTCTCACTTTCCCTCTCTATGTCTATCTTGCTCCAAAGAGCACGCACATACCCTATGGCAAAAATCTTAGAAAACATCTTTTATAAAGAGTAAGAAGTTACTTTTTGAGGGATGGAATTGTTCTTTACATGAGTGTGATGATGGCTGCAAAACTCTGTAATACCAAAAAACCACTGAATTTAAATGAGTGAATTATATGGTGAGTGAATTATATGGTAAGTGAATTATGTCTTATTGAAACTATTACCAAGAAAGAAAATAAAAGCATTCTACTTTGAAATAGTACATATGCTGAGCTCCTATATAGTTCATTTGAAACACAGAAGTCCTTCAATGGTACTCTGGCTGGCAGCAAGGGGTCAGATAGCAAGGGGTCCAAAGACGAGTCTAGCCCAGCACTTGCCCCTGGAGCTTGTGGTCAGGAGCAACATGGACACCATCCAGTTAAACCCAGCCTGCTAAAATATCTAGTACCTTGCAGGCTGGGTATATTCTTTATAGTAATCCCAAGGAGAAAACAATGCCAGTCAACACTTACAAAACACTTACAATATGCCAGGCTGTGCGGAGCACTTCCCAGGCATCGCTTCATTGCATCTTCACGACACTGCTGTCAGCGCTCAGTAGCCGTATCTAATGAACTGCTGCGAGCCTGTTCTCCCATGAGTTGTGACAGAGGTCCTTGGGCCCAGGCAGAACTAGGTTTGTGATGGGTTGCGGGGAAATTGAGGTTCCATAGACTATGGGCATCTCAGCTTGGAGAGACACAGATGGTCAAGGGAGCAAAGAACACTGAGGTACCAAGACACAGTCTGGCCTCTCCTCAGTACTGTCCCTTCCTGAGACTGCTCTTAACTGTAAAGTGGGGCCACCATTCCTACTTCTGCAGAGAGCAAAGGGCCCTCCATGAGGCAATGATCCATTGAAAGAAGAACCAGTATTAGCAAATGCTGCCAAGCAAGGGGACCCTCCACCCCAGCATCCAGAAGAGGTCTCCTGGTATGGAGAGAGGCCAGCACATGCACTCACACCCTCACACTCTTACACACTCCTCTGCCATCCCTATACCCCAGGAGTTGGGTACCAGTCACCCAGTGGGGGGTACCAGCACCCTTTTCTGGACGCTTTCCCAGGCTGCTAGCATAGAGCAAGTGCACCTCCTTGAAGTCCCCAGAGCCCCAGCTGGTATCTGAGAATTATCTGCCTCCTGGATTAACATCCCAGCTCCTCCACTGCCCAGCTCCAAAGGCCTGTGTCCTTGTGCCCTGCAGAGCTCCTTCCGCCCTGGAAGCATCTGTTTTGATATGTAAAACAAGGCCAGCAGAGCACTGAGCACAGAGGGTGGCTGGGAGTGTTAATGAGAACACTGCTTGGAGATCCCTGAGCACAGTGTCTGTCCTCCCCTTCCATGGGGCCCAGTCCTGCTCTGCCCACTCCACAGCCATGGGCAGATGCTGAAGGTCAAGGTTTTTGAGATGCTATTTGGACTGACTGTGGACATGAGGTGAGAGCCCCTGCGTGGGGCTCAGCCAGAAGAGCACAGGGGCTGCTGCTGGGGAACTCATGGCATGCCCTTGAGAACCCACCAGATCCTTAGCTGCCTGTTTGCCCTCATCCTACCCAGAAAGTCCAGCGTGAGGGGGCTCCTGCTCTGCTGAGGTCTCCTGTTTAGTGCAGACATTGAGGGTAGACAGGGCCTGCTGGGGGTGAAATCTAGTGGATCAGCTCAAGTCCAGCATGAGGGGGCTCCTGCTCTGCTGAGACCTCCTCATGCTGAGGGTCTCCTGTTTAGTGCAGACATTGAGGGTAGACAGGGCCTGCTGGGGGTGAAATCTAGTGGATCAGCTCCCATATACAGGGTCAGGGGCAGAGGAGGCCCACAAACCACAGGATGATCTCGCAGGCAGGTCTGGGGAGGGCCTGAGCCTGCATTTCTCACACTGCCTGGAGGCCCTGATGCGGCCGTGCCTGGGCCATGTAAGGAGCAAGGACCTGAAGCAGGCACAGCCAGTCCTCGGGAGGGTTTGAGAATATGAGGAGCCACAGCATAGTTCAGCCTCTCACTGGGCCCGTATGGGCTCAGCCCCACCCAACCACACCCTCAGCTTCCAACATCTGGAGGGTAATGCCACATGGATTTTCATAGTTTCCAGGATTCCATTTCCATTACATATATAAAGTAAAAGTAGTACCACGGTATTTAAAATAAAATGGAAAACATGGGGGAAAAGTAGGGGAAAAAATCACTGATCATCTCATACTGCATTTAAAACAACTGCTGACCTCTCTCCCCAAGATCTAAAACCATGCCCACCAGTGTGTCAGGGGTCCTGGGACCCATGAGAGGGTCTGCCTCAGCAGCCCTGCCCATTGCAGAGAGTATCCTGGGTCCCTGGCTCCCTCCTCGTCCCTCACAGGCAGCAGGCCCAGGAGGCAGAGGTGGGGTTGGGGGAAGGGGGCGCACATCTGGATTCCTGGCCCAGAGCCCGCATTCCTTCCTTGTGAGCTTGAGGAGATGGGGCCTCCAGAAAGCTGTGAGGCAGCTGCTGGCCCCGCCCTGCACACCATAACAGGACCTGCCTGCAGGAAGGCAAGCAGGACTTGAGGGCCGGAACCTCATTTGGGGGCCAAGTTTGGGCCAGATCGCCCAGCCAGAATGCTGAACAATCAGAACGAGCCCAAGCTGGGCTCCTTGCTTTGCCTTAGAAACCCCAATGGGGATGAGAGAGTGGAGACCAGAGAGTCATGTGGCCACTCCCTGGTGAAAGGGGCCCCCGAGAGATGGTTCTGCAGGCCCTTCCCCCAGAAGCTGGTTGCCCAAGAGCCCCCTTCTGGGCAGGATAGCCTTACCTGGGGGCAGTCTTTGATGTAGTGTCCTTTGTTGAAGCACAGGTGACACAGGTAGTTGGGCGGGGGCCGCTTGCTGGGCTTGCGGGCCTCGGAGGTGAGGGTCAGGTCAGAAAAGTGCTCGGTGAGGGAGCTGAGGCCATCCGCGATGTTGCTGAGGGAGCCGTAGGGCGAGGAGCTCTTGTATACACTGCTGCCCAGCGCCTGTGGGGGAGAGGGACATGCACACTTGTATCCACGGCCTGGGGGACCTTCTGCAGGCCCATAAACACACATGTGAGTGCACACTAAGCCTTCAACTGCACAAGCGCTCTGGCCTCCAGGAGCCTAAATTAAATTCCTGACTCTAGGGACCAGCAGTTAGCGTAATGGCTATGTCGCTGGACTCCCATTTAGTTGACTGCGGTTCGAGTCCTGGACCTGGTGGCTTAAAACTCACGCCGGATATGTGTGCGTGCGTGCCCAAGATCCCAAGAGGAGAATGAAGGAGAAGGAATTCTGGCGTGGCCATCCCCCCTGGGGGGTGATTTCTCGCTTTCTGTCTCTCTGTCTCTGTCTGTCTGGCGAGCGCACGCGCCCTATAGCAAAAACCTCTCCAAAAAAAAAATAAATAAATAAATCCTGACTCTAGCTGCATGTCCACAGGCAAGCCAGTTAACCACTCTGGGCTTTGATGGCCCTACCTCTTAGGTTTCTATGAGGCTAAAAGGAGATTACTCATGTGAAGCACTTTACCTTGTTCCTGCCATTTAGGAGCCCTTCAGTAAACGGTGATGATGATGAAAATGACTGTGATTATGGTCACCGTTAGGTTCTCTTGACACACTGCCATGAGGCACAAAGGTACAGGAGACAGCAGCCTGTGAGATTTGGGATTCTGCCAAAGTTGAGGCGAATGGCTGCTGACTCGGTCTCCCTGTCTGTAAGGAAGAGCCACATCAGTTTGTGGCACAGTCCCCATTTTACGGAAGACTGAAGACCAGCCCCTCGCCTGGCCTCTTGCAGATCGAGACCTGTGCAGTCTGTGTCCAGGGGCCCTCAGCCTGGCGTGGGAGCCCAAGGAGGGAAGTGGCCCACCTCTCCCACCTCCAGATGACAAGAACCAGACATCTCGCTTAGCTTCAAAGCAGACCCAGCCTGGGGCCTCTCCTGATGTATACAACCTCTATTTATAGAGTCACGGCTCCGGGCAGCCTGGCACACTGGAATTTAGAGAAGGTGGGGCCTGTACGAGGTTGGCAAGGAACGGCCATGGGTCCCCTTCCTTGGGGCAAGGCCAAGGCTGGCATGAAGCAGCTTCCCCAGGGGGGGTCAATGACAAAGCCGGGCAAGACCTTGGGCATCCTCCAGCCCCAGCTCAGATGCCCAAGAACTGCAGGAGTAAGCTCTGAACCTTGGGGTGGCGGGGGCTTTGAGTCTGGCAGGAAGATGAGGCTTTGTTCTAGGAAGTGCCCAGGCTGATGAAGTAGCCCAGTCCCTGGGAGGATGGGCCTCGGGCTCTCTTATAAAGTTGGGAGGACAGACAGTCTGAGTGGGGACAGTTCTTTCTATGACCCCTCAGTAAATGAAGGGGAGGGAGGTGGGGCTGAGGGGGCCCCCAAGGCATGGGGCACATTTTCCCCACCCCTAGCCTTCACATGTATATACCTCAGCCTTCCCACTGTATCCCTCTTAAGGGGTCTGCCAGTCCCTCCTAAGAGGACGTAGTCTCATCACAAGAGCCACTACTGTTCTTGGGACTTTGGGACGCCCTGCTGTGTGACTCTGGGCCAGCCATTTCCTCTCTGGGACTCTGTTTCCTATCACTACTTTGGGACTGGAGCCTGGGATGGAGAAGGTAAGATTCAGACACCACATCCAGGCAGCCCAGACCCAGCACAGTCGGCCTACAGTGATGGAGACCAGAACCCCAAGTCCCAACCTGCTCTACCCAGGACCTGTGCAAGGTACTGACCAACCTGCACTCAGGTGTCTGGTGAGCCCAGATGGAAGAGTCCGCCCTTCAAGGCAGAGGGTCCAGCCCTGGAAGTGTGTGACGCATAGGGGATGACCTTACAGGGTGTGGGGGAGGTCCCAACGGAAATCGGATTGGACCATAACAGTAACATACACCCGGCACTCACTGAGTCTCCAGCCTGGAAACTACGCAAATTAAGATAGCAGGTTCTCACCACAGCCCTATGACTCACCATCCCCATTTCACAGATTAAACGAGCGTGTCCCAACTTATATGGAATGACCTGGGAAACTTGCAACAAATAGAGTTTTCTTGGCCCCAACTCAGACCTACCAATGCAGCCCTCTGGGATCTGCATGGTGGGGTAATAAAATATACCTAACAAAAGTCACCATTTTAATGATTTTTTAACAGCACAGTTCAGTGGCACTAAATCCATTCACATCATTGTATAACCTGCACCAGCATCGACTTCCACAGCTTTTTCATCTTTCCCAACTGAAATGTTGTGCCCAAGACACGCGAGCTGACCCCTGCCCGGTGTGTGTGTCTCAAGCTTCCCTGGCTCAGGTATACTAGTCCAGCCCACCGAGCCCAGGGAGCTCCTGGGCTTTCCAACCAGCGACATCTGTCTCTGTAGAGAATCTAACACTCTCTGTACTAGGAGACACCCCTCCCCACCAAATGGGCCTGTGGGAGCAGCATCACCCCAGCCTCCTGGAGAGAGGTTCATCCAAACAAGAAACTTGAAGCTCCAAATGGCATGACTCACCCTCATGGCTGGGAACAGCAATTTCACAAATAACAACCCTCTTATTTTTTTCCTTTTTTCTTTCTTTCTTTTTTTTTTTTTTTTTTTTTCTGGATAAGATTTAGGCAAGTCCACAGGAATCAGGACCATTTTGGCACCAAATTGTCAAGAGGAAGGGGAAGTTTAGTGTGTGCCAGAAAGCATAGTAATCACACCCTGAAAAACCTCTCTCCCATCTTGCGGCCATGATCCCCTGGCCGTGGACAGTCCCACAGGCATCCTTGGGCAGCCAGAGGCCTCCCCCGAGCCGCTCGACACCCCACCCACCCCCTCACAGGCTCACGGCTTTGCTCCTTCCCATGGCAGCTCTGCAGTTAGAGAAGTGAGGCCAGGGCTCTCTCCTCGCAGTCTTCTTCACCTCCAGTGTCCTCCGACCTGCCCCCAACTGCTACTCCAACTCCTTCCTCCAGCTCCAATTCAAGACAATTGCCACCTCAGAGCTGAACTGAATGGGCAGAGAGCAGTCAGCTGACCTGACCTCATTCCCACATTGCAGATGGAAAAACTGAGGCCCAGCAAGGCACAGGGACACAGACCCCACCAGGTCTAAGGACCAGGAGTGCTGCTTGCCCAGTGGGGTGAAGGGTGGGTGGGGAAGTGAGCTGTTTCCTCTCCAAAGCCCATTTGAGCTCAGGCCATGGAGGTGAAAGGCGAGTCGGCATCTCAGCCATTCACACAGGCTGTGGGGACCAGGCTGGGCAGGGGCAGGACACAGAGCCCAGCCCTTCCAGTGTGGAGCTGCGTGCTGGCCTCCCGGGTTTCCCATCTATAAACTGCAAAGTGGAGCGGAGAAGGATGACCCTGACAAACGCTACAGTCCTGCTTCCTTATGGCCCTGACACCCAGCTACGAGAGACATCCCCAGAGCCCAGCCTGCAAAGGATGCTCATCAACACAGGCACATCTCTCCATCTGTGGCTGGAAGGCAGGCAGGCACAGAGGCTGAGGCAGCCAGCCCCTAACTCAGCAAGAGCCAAGCTGCTCCCCGTGGCATCCCACAGGGCAGCCCCCGCAATGCCTATCCTGACATCCACCCAAACCCCTTCCAGGCTCCAGCTCCAGATCTGGCTCTAATTAGTGCCACGGCCTCGAACTCTCCCCTAGGCAGGTCTTAAGCTCCAAACAAAATGGCAGATGCAGGTGCTTCTGAGGCCATGCTGACCACAGCACACTCCCCATCCCCACCTTCTGGGGACCTGCTCGAGCCCTCACCAAGAGCCCAATCCATCAATGCAGGGACCACCATGTAACACACCTGCCGTTAACTGATGGACCTCCGAAGTCTCTCGAATTTCCTTATATGTGTGACGCTGCCTGCCTTTCCCACAAGGCCGGATGTTTCTGAAAGTTCTGCAACCCTCCATCAGCCCAGAGCCCAGACTGTTATTACTGATCCCTATGCCCAGGGCTGCCCTGGATGCAGGTGGGGCAGGCCTGGGGGCCTCACCTGACAACAGACGCCCTAACACCTCAAAGGATTTAGGTTGGGGTCTTGATGTTCTCAAGGACTAAGTGGGAGGGCCCACCATCCTAAATTAGGCTGCTCTGGGCACTGGTCAAGAGTAGCTGCACTGGGAACCAGCAGTTAGCGTAATGGCTATGTTGCTGGACTCCCATGTAGTCGACCGCGGTTCGTGTCTCGGACCCGGTGGCTTAAATCTCACGCCGGGCACGTGTGCGTGCGTGCCCAAGATCCCAAGAGGAGAATGGAGGAGAAGGGATTGCGGC